GTAGCGCAAGACGTCCACCCAACCACTGTAAGTGCAACTCTTTGCGCACTGTTCAGCGACACAGTAATCTCACTTCTCACTTTGTTGTACAGATTGGGAATATGTTTGTAAGTGAACACAGACCTGTCCGGTATTTTATACCTGGGTTCCAAAACGTGCACGAGCTGTCTGAAACGGTCGTTGTCCACCATGCTATAAGGCTGGAGGTCTTTGCATATGAAATAACCAGTGGCCTTAGTTATAGCCATTGCGCGGTCACTGAGCTGCAAGGGAACCCCCAAAATAAGAGGCGATTTTTTTCTGATCCTGACCTGGTTTGCCAAGAGTTTCTTCGGTGTCTGACGAGTAACTGGACGGGGAGGCGGGGGAGGGAGCGGGAAACTTGTCGGTGATGTGATGCCATCGTTTGAAGTGGGTCTGCATATTTGTGGTGCTGCCGTTCTATGGCTTCTTAGTGTGACATTCTCTGCAAATTACGGAGGTTTTTTCAAGCTTTCTGTCTTTCTTTTTGAAGCCGTAGTATTTCCAAATGTAAGATCTGAATGTTGCGGGTGCATTAAATATAGTAGTTTCCTCGCTGCTGCTTGCGCGAACTTCCATAGTGTTTCGCTAGTAGTGTACTGTACTGTATGTGATTCACAGCTTCCGTCCGTATTCAACACAAAACGCAAAATAATGATGGTGCATTCATTGTACCAAGGAAAGGGCAGATAGGTGACGTTTAACATGAATAAAAGGGCGCTTGCATCGGATTTCACCGATACCCACCAACGCATCGTGATGAATCTAGATTTCACCCGTGAATTGCGTCGTACCCAGTGAATGAGCCGATGCACTAGCATCGCGCACGTGCGCATCGATTAATATCGATTCTTTTCCACACCCTTAGTATTCGTCGAACTCCATGCCTTGAAGTTGATCCCACTTGGTAAAAAGAACCACTGTGTGGTATTTGACGGCATCATCTCCAAATATTTTGGCCAGATTGAGAATAGACTGGTCCGCATCCTCTGTATAAGGACCAATCGGCACCACCAAGAGAAAAGCGTGCGGCCCAGGAGCACAGAAAGACAGACACTTAACCATTTCTGTATAAATCTGCTCCTCACTGAGGCAAGTGTCCCCGAAGCCCGGCATGTCAACCACCGTAAGTCGCCTCAGTATCTGCTGGTCATGACCTTCTGCTGGCTCAGTGCTCCCACACTGACATTCCCGGGTCACTAAGCTGGCACTGAGTTTTGACAGGAACTGGTGTTTCCAGTTGCGCTCTTGCCAGATCCCGTATTTCCGAGAAGAACCAACCTGAGGTCTTCAAGCCCCGCGATCTCAGAATCATTCTCCATATCAACTGGTTCGTGTTTGTAGTATCTGTTTTATATCTGTTTTGTGTTAGTTTCATGGTCTGTTTTGTGTTAGTTTCATGGAAATACGTTACCTAATCGTAGTAAGTAGGAAAGCAGGCATATGGTTGTCAAGCAAAGAAATGAACATGTCAAACAAATGCAGAAACAAGGAGCAAAATGTATATTGATGATGCTTGTTAGCCACTCCGCGATGGTCGTCATCAGATTACATGTCAAACAGTGCATAGGTAAAGAGCAAAATGCATATTGATGATGTTTGTTAGCTATTCTGTGATGGTCATCATTGAATTAGCAAGGATACCTACCATCGGATTAGCAACATGCGTGTGTAATGACTGTTGCATGTTCTTCAGTGATTTCATCGGGTTGCCAAGCCAACGAAGACACAATTAAAACTAAAGACTCACATGCATCGAGTTGCCATGCCTACGGGGATAGTTATATCTAAAACCCACATGCAATCACACCGAGGCCCGGTAGGGGCCTCTATTATATTTTAAAAATAAAGCTATTGTGATACCATTATAACTCAGAACTATGACATGAAGTTGCTTATAGATTAAAATCTAGCCGACAAAGAAGGCCACAGCCAATCAGAATTACACAACGCATTATGATACTATTAGAATTGATAAATGATCGTAGAGACTAGCCAATGAAATGAGAGGGGTTGGCCCCTCATAACGCTATAAAACCTGTGTTTAGTCCCGGGAGATTTCAGAGTTTTCCGATGTGCACATCTGTACCTCTCCGGGTTTTGATTGAATAAAACTCGTTTTGTGACCAGTCTGAACCTTGGACTCATGACTAAGTTTGTACTTAGTTTTGATCAACTCCGGCCTCGAACTCAGAGAAACTTCTGGTGCGTCCCCTTGCCTGCGGCTCAACGAAGGAACTTCTGTGTCGGCGCTTGGCCCTCCACGGATCCCCGGGAGAAGGCGAGACGCCGCCGCGCGCCCCTTGTCTCCGGGAGGAGGCGTAGGTCTGACTCAGGGCCGACACTTCATATTCCTCTCCACTCAGTGATGGGGAAATCTGCACAAAACATGTCGAAACATTTGTGAATAAACCTGATCAATGCACGCGAAAAATTGTGCTCCTTCACCCATTTCGTCATGATAGGTTGAAGTGAACATTTAGCCGCATTGTGTCGGTAACAGCCAATTGGCGTCGAGACTGTCCTTACTCTGTCACACGGATGCTCAGAACAAGCAGACACTGGGATGGCAACACAGATTTTGTTTTTCAGCTGAAATGTTGTAACGATTGACTTGGGGGGGGGGTCAGGGGGGCACAGCCCCCCTGAAGCTGAGAAGTTTGCAGTGAAATGAAAGTACAATTTAATGCAAAAAAGGAAAGAAAAATGAAATTGTGGAATAACATTAATCGGCAAATTTAATATAACTTTAACTCACTTTTTTTCTCCAAAGTTTTCTCACTGTCTTCAGTCACTATTTACACACCAGAGTACACTATTTACACACTATTTACAAGTCCGTTTATCAGTTTTAATTCAGCAACTTCCTTCTTTTGGCCCCCAGCTGTGTCAACCTTTGAACAGCTTTCGTCTTCAGTTCCTGTTGGTGAGATTTTCTTGCTGCCATCTCCTTGTATTTCAAGCAATCTCTGGCCTTGACACTTGAGACAGCTGCAGATGCAGCCAGTGAATGCTTCTCCACACGTTTCTTCTTGTCAGCTGCAGCTTTGGCCCAGTCTTCTTTCTGCATCTTGGCAGCCCCTCTCATATTCACACACAGATTTCTGTCAACTGGTGTGTGCAGAACACCCCTTTTCTTGAAGTGTTGCAGGGCAGTTGTACTTCTTGCCTTCAATCCATACTTAACTGACTGGATGGCATTGAAGATTTTGGTGTCCATTCTTGTGCTCTTGCAATCCACAATATCCCCCATCAAATTGAATGAGCCTTCCACCATTGGACCATGGAAGCATGTCAGCACAGTCAGGACCATCTTGGAGGGAGCAGGATCCTTGTTGGATCCCTTGACTGCAGTCCACCACTTGTCAATGGACATCAGGTTTGGGTCAGGTAAGGAGCTGTCCACTTGATAACTGTGAACCTCCAAGGAGATCTGTGATGCTTCTTCCTCTGTCAGGAAACTCTTGCAAGCATTCCTCAGGTTCTTCAGGTACCTGGTGGTTAGATGGTGACCCCTGGCACATGGATCCACAGCCAAAACTGATCTCAGGAAGAGGTTATCCAGAGGAAGTCTTTTTTTGTAGATCTTGCGCACACTTGATGTACGCATCAGATGCCTTGTCCAGAAAGTTCTTGACAGTTGCAGAGTCTCTCTCCTTTTGCAGCATTTCTTCTGCTGCAAGGCCAAGAAACATGTCTTTGGGATCTAACAATTGCTCCTCGCCTTTATCAATCTTGATGGTCTTCACTTGTTCGGATGACAATTTTGCCAGAAATTCAGGCTTCATGACGCACGCAAGAAAGCTTTTCATGAGTTCTTCTTGTTTGTGATGAAGGATGTGTATTAGGGGGGACTTACTCTGGAATAGCAGAACATAGTCTTTCAGGAGTCTGAGTACGGCCAGGTAGAAGGAACTGATCAAATCAGTCATTTTGGACTTGACAATGATCTTTTCCACTATCCTCTCTTTCCTACTTCGGCCATCTTGTGTCATATTCTTGTTTGACATTGTTTCCCAAATTTCCTTCACTGTTTCTTTGCCATCTGAAGAGACCCCACGTTCACTCAAAATCTGCATGATAGGACTCTTGTACAAGGCACGATCTTCAAGGCACATGAACCCATAGTACATGACCCTAAATGCATCCATCATGACCATGTTTGGAGCAGTCACATCATAACAGGAGAGCCATCTGTGAGAGAGAAACCTCAAGGGAGTGGTGAAGGGAATTGACATAATTTCACAAATCTCTCCCAAGAGTAGTTTCAGATCGGCAGACCATTTGATGTCGTTGTGAAGATCTGTTGCTAAACTCTCAACCCAGCCATCAAATGGTTCACAAAACTTCCAACAAGCATTATGGACATGATGGCAGGAATCTCCATTGATGTCCAGAAGCTGAGGAGCCTTTTCTTTCCTAATCTTCACTTCCAATCCATTCTTGGCACCTCTCATCACAGAACAGGAATCTGAGAGCAAGGAAACAAGGTTTTCCCAAGGTATATTGTTGTCATCGAAGATCTTCTCAATAGCAGAAAACACACTGATCGTATCCACTTTATAGAGCTCAACTGACTGCAGGTGCTCAACCACAATACCGCCCTGTTTCATGGATAGATAACTGACCAGAATGGCCAATATCCTCTTGTCAGCATTGCCGGTGCTTTCATCAACATTAAGAGAAAATGGCCCACTACGCATGTTCTGAATTGTCTCATCTGTAAAGGTTTTTCCCAGTCCATGTGTCATTTTGTAGGATGCTGTTTTCCTTTCAAGTTTCACATTACTGAGCGCTCTTGGGTCTTTCGCTAGCTCCTTCGCAGTATGGATAATAACAGGCGCCAATGACAAGGGAAGGCTGTGCTCAGCAAGAACTCCAAGAACCAGTGCCTGAAAAAAATTTAACTCCATTAAAGAAATGTCTTTGCAACAAAATTCTATTTTTATTTTTCCGAACCGCTTGATCCTCACTAGGGTCGCGGGGGGTGCTGGAGCCTATCCCAGCCGTCTTCGGGCAGTAGCCACCCTGAATTGGTTGCCAGCCAATCGCAGGGCACACAGAGACGAACAACCATCCATGCTCACACTCACACCTACGGACAATTTAGAGTGTTCAATCAGCCTACCATGCATGTTTTTGGAATGTGGGGGGGAACCGGAGTTCCCGGAGAAAACCCACGCAGGCCCGGGGAGAACATGCAAACTCCACACAGGGAGGCCGGAGCTGGATTCGAACCCGGCACCTCCGCACTGTGAAGTCGACGTGCTAACCACTGGACTACCGGGCCGCCCTGCAACAAAATTCATTCATGCATATTATTGATCATTCAGAATTTAAATCAATCTTTATATATTCATTGATATATTAGGAATTTTAAAATGAAATACAATATGCAGTAAGATTTTTAGAAAAGATGAAAATAATTGCATTCGTTGAACTGATCCTCTTTCATATTTGTGTATATTTATTTACATACTTTATTTATTTATTGCTGGTAGTATTAAACATTTAACTTACACTGAACCGATTAACATATTAAAGAGTGATATATAGACAGGGTTGATGACAAGAATTAATTACAATAAATGAAGTAAATGTTTAGTAAGATACTAGTTTGTGACAAAAATACACAGGGTGATTTGTTAATATTTTTTACAGTGAGTTATGAAGCAAGACCATAACCATATGTAACTTGAAATCGCCAAGATTTTCTACACAAGTTAGAAGTTAGTGCAGGCAGGCAACAAATTGGAAAGCATCTACACATGATACAGTCAACTTGAAAAACACAGCCAAAATACTACATTCAAATATTACAATCATACTCACTTTGTGTTCCTGAAACATGCAGTTAATCATTTTGATTATATCATGCATTCAAATGCAGGAAAAACATCAACATTTTAACAGCATTCCTTAGCTCTCAGATAATACAATTTATTATGCATAACCGTCCTTTATTATCCAAGACAAAACGTGAATTATCAATATGAATATAAAGCGCAAATAAAAACAAAGAAATGTTATCATGCTATTGCTACAAATGCATACCAAATAAAATTGCAAATATCATCCTCGTATATTTGAATAAAAAAGTATATACCTCGGAGTGTACCTGTCTATCGGCGAGGGGCGTCAGTGGAGCAGATTCGTTGCTTGGTTCAGCCAAAGTACCCCAGTGCGTAACGTCTTTCGTTGTATCCGCTGACGAAGTTTGTTTGGACAATGCTGATCCCAAAGAATAATTGCTCTGTCGAATGGCGATTTTGTCGGCATGTTTTTTCACTTTTGTTGCATGATCTGTCAGTGCCACGCATCCACGGGA